CGTTCGGCGACGTCTCACGGCCCGGTGTGCGCAAGGGCTTGGCAGGTTCGGCTCTCTGAAGCACTGCGCACGCACACGGGGCATCGGCCTACCGTGCCGCAGTGCGGCAAGGCCTTTGGCCAGAGCTCGGCGCTGCTACAGCACCAGCGCACGCACACGGCTGAGCGCCCGTACCGCTGTCCCCACTGCGGCAAGGCCTTCGGCCAGAGCTCCAACCTGCAGCACCACCTGCGCATCCACACGGGCGAGCGGCCCTACGCCTGTCCCCATTGCTCCAAGGCCTTTGGGCAGAGCTCGGCGCTCCTGCAGCATCTGCATGTGCATTCGGGCGAGCGCCCCTACCGCTGCCAGCTCTGCGGCAAGGCGTTCGGCCAAGCCTCCAGCCTCACCAAGCACAAGCGGGTGCATGAGGGCGCGGCCGCTGCCGCGGCTGCAGCTGCGGCTGCTGCCGCCGGCCTGGGCCTCAGCCCTGCTTCCATGTTGAGGCCGGGGCAGGTCTCCCTCCTGGGTCCTGATGCAGTCTCTGTGCTTGGCTCTGGCCTGAGCCTCAGCCCGGGCCCCAGCTCTGGCCTTGGCCCTGACCCTGGCTCTGTACTGGGCTCCCTCCCCAATCCCAACCCCCAAACCATCCCTGGCTCTAGATCTACCCCCACCCCTGATTCTGTCAAATCTTCTGACCCTGAGCCTGGGCACGAAACCAATTCTGACCTTGCGGCCAGCCCTGACCACGGATCTGGTCCCAGCCCCGACCCGGATACTGTGCCCAGCCCTGACCCCAACTCTGAGTCCCACCCTGAGCCTGGCTCTCCCACCCGTGACACCGTCAGCCCAGTCCTCCCTACTGGCGATAGTCCCAAGTGGGTGCAGGAGCAAGGGGCACTGCTGGGACCGGATGGCTGACGGGCAGGCTGGCACCCACAGGGGCCTGGGAAACTTGTGTGTTGTGCAGTTAGTAAAATCCTCCCACTGCCTCCTGGCTCTGTGTCGTGGTTCTCCTGTTGCTCTTTTTTCTCCAATGCACAGCCTCTTCCTCGGGAGATGGGAAGGTATGGCCTGAGCCAGACATCCCTCTGGAACCTCAGTGTCCTCGCTTCCCCCATGACCTCCTCCAGACTTGCCAGCTTCCCCGACTGGGTCTCACTCCAGTCCATTCCAGCAGTCACCACTCTCTGCTCCCCTAGACCTGGTCACCCCAGTCAAGGACAGACTCACCCTGCAGGTGGTCTAAGCAGAATCCTTTTCTTTTGGACTTGGCTTTTCCATGAATGTTGGAACGTCTGGCATGTTGACAGTCTAGTGGGCTGATAATGGAGGCTGAAACGAAACCATGTGGGCTGCCCTGCCCCATCTGCTCCCCTAACTTACCCCTAGCCCTTCAAATCCCACATTATAGGTACCCCATGGGACAAAGGAGGTGGCTCATTTATGCATTCAGCAAACATCTGTTGATGGCTTAGTCTCAGCAGGGAGCAAGGTAAGCATGGCCTTGGCCTTCATGGAGTTCAGAAACATTTGTGGGGAGGGTCTACCTCAGTGGTAGAGCACATGCTAAGCACGCACAAGGTCCTGGCTTCAATTTCCAGTACCTCCATTAAAAAATAAAATTAAACAAATAAACAAACAAACCTAATTACCCTTCCCCCAAATAAAAAATTTAAAAAGTAATTACAGAGTATGGTACATTCAAGAAGAAGTAAAACAAGACTTCTAATTTAGACAGGGGACAGCTTTCCCGAGAAAGGGCTTTATAAGTCCCTATAACCAATAATTTAATCATCAGTACTGTTTGCCCAGAACTGTGTTATGGTCTTGCATTTTCTCATTTAATTCTCTCAACAGTCCCATGAGGAAGGTAATTATGACTGAGCATCCCATTTTGCACAGGAGGAAACTGAGGCACATAGCATTCAAAGGATGTTTTGGAAGACACAGAAGTGATTGGGAGCATCTAGATTTAAACCCCAATTTTCTGCACTCCAAAGACTGTATTGTTAATGTTTATGCTCTAGGGTAAGAAAATGCAAAGGCCCTGGGGCCACTGAGAGATGCGTTAGGGGAGGAGGTGAGGGGGAGGCCTGAACAGAAGGCCTTAGTAGACTGAAGTAGGGAGTTTGCTTGTCATCCCAGAGAAATGGGAAGCCTCTGGTAGGTTCTGACAGAGAACTGATGTGAATTATGTTTTGAAAACACTTCTGGCTGCTGGGTGGAGAGTGGGATGGGGTTGGGGGAACCAGGCATGGAAGCCTGAGCTCAGGGAGGTTGTTGCAGTGGTCCAGGCCAGGAATGTTGGGGGACGCCAGGCTGATAGCCATAGGAGTGAGGAAAAGCGTTCCTACTTGGGAGATAATTAGGAAATGAAGTAGAATTTGATGATAGTTCAGATGAGACGCAGAAGCGGAAGGGGTTGAGAAGGGGTTGAGAGTAACACAGGGTTTCTGGGAGGATGGAGCCAGCAGATAGAATTTGAGATACAATGTAGGATCATCACCTGATCCCCCAGAGGGTAAGGAGTCAAGTACTGGACATAGAAGTCAAGAGGTTGGTACTGGACGCGGGCATGACAGAGCCATGACCGAGCCAGGCCTACGTTGGCGCGCTCACAGCCTGCCCATCCCCCAGCAAATTCCCACCTGTCGGCACTAGGACCTCGCGACCGCCTGGGCGCTGCAAGTGGCCAGT